GGGCGTTTGCGGAGCGGCACCATAGACTAGAATAGGAGGCTTCAACGCCTCCTGATTCGACCAGAGACGTCCATTTTGCCGTGCCGCGACGCTAACGCTCCCGTTAGAACAGCACCATGTGCTGCAATGTGCAGAATTGTCCGAGGCGTTTGGGAAGCGGTAAAAATGCTTCCCAAACGCCTTTCTGCCGCATTCTGCACACAACGCTAGTGTGAATATAGCCTTAAAGCGCTTTTACAGCGAAAACGTTTTACCTTTAATGCAGTCTCTGTATCAAAGTAAAAAATGTTTTGTCACGTGCTGCAATCCAGTGCTGTGCCTGGCTGCAGTCCTTTTACTCTGTCTCTTCTCTCAGGAGGACTGAGCAGCAGCTGAAGTCATTGGCTCCTGCTGTCAATGAAATCCTGTGAGCAGAGAGGCCTGGGGTGGGGCTGAGCCGCGCTGTGTGTTGTTTGTGTGTCAATACACACACACACACACAACCTGGCTCAGGAGCAAGCCTGCACATCTGCCCCCATAGCAAGGAGACACAGAAGAGGAGGAGCTGACAGCGCCAGTGAGAGACCTCAGAAGACGTTTGGGGCCACTCTGTGCAATACAATACAACAGATCAGGTAAGTATAACGTGTATTATTTTAATACAAAAAAATTGCATTTAGAAACACTTTAATGGTTTTCCTTTCATTTCTAGCTCTGAAAGACCAGGTGAACAGCCTAAAGTGGTATTAAAACCAAAATCAAATATGTAATATATTGCAGCTTATCAATCATTAGATGTGGTTGCTGATTTAGTTTTCTATTCTTAGAATTCTTTCACCTGGTGATCTGGCCAGTACCACACTTCCTGTATTAAGAGTGCCCCCACTCTGGATGAAGGAGCCCAGGGAGCACCTTTGGACAGCAGCATTGGCAGTTGGGGAGGGGGGGGGGTAGATGTACTAGCAGATTTAGATACAATAGCAAATTGAAACCAAACTTTAGCTCATACTGCAGTCACAGAAGTAGTTACACAAACAGTTTTGTTTTTTTTAATTTTGGGATGAAGGTTTTACATGAATAAATAAAAACCGGTCTTTGTAAGCCCCCATCAGTGGTAAATGGTTTGTCTTTGCACTTTAAAGTGATATTAAAGGCAAATTAAGGAAAAAAAAATATGTCCTACTTGGTGCTGTGTGCAGTGGTTTTGCACAGAGCAGCCCGGATCCTCCTCTTCTTAGGTTCCCCTCCTGAGCTCCTGGCCCCTTCCTCCTGCCAGCAGGTTGCTATGGGGGCTCCCAAGCTGCTGCTCTGCATGTCCATTCACACGCAGAGCTGCGGCTTGGCCCCACCACCTCTCTCCTCATTGGCTCACTAGCTGTGATTGACAGCAGCAGGAGCCAATGGCTGTCTCAGCCTATGAGGAGGGAGAGCCGAGGCACATCGCTGGATCGGAATGGGGCTGAGGGGGCTGCAAGAGCTGCTGCATACAGAGTTTTTTTTTTTTTTCTTTACCTTCATACATAGAAAAAAACCTTAAGACTTTAGAACCACTTTAATGCCTCATGCACACTGGATGTTTTCAATGCTGCCGTTGGGGCTGACTGTCTTTATTTCTTTTCTGCCTCTTAACGCCCCTGCATGTTAGCCTATGTGTCCATGTGCGGATGCTGCCTGGAAGAAAGGCGTCCAGGAGAGATGGCCAAACATCCAGTGGCATGAGGCCTTAACAGATACATTTGCAGGAGAGCTTTCCGATTTACTGGCCAAATCACCAGGCGAAAATGAAAGCAATCCTAAAAATGAAAACTAATGCAGCCACCACATCAAAAAATTGGTAAGCTGCAGTATAGTAAATGTTTGCTTTTGGGTTTAATACTGCTTTAAAGAATCAGAGAAAAGCCCTAAAAGCACGAGAGAATTAAAGTTAGTGCCAAAGAAACAAAACAACATAACGCAGTGATACGGAGGGGCGATCTTACCTCAAAAATGGTTCCTGCCTTCACATTCAGTGATTATTGTTTGCTAAACAGTGATTATATGATACAGTAAAGTTGGTACAGTGATTATTTATAGCTGCAGTGGGCTATATTTAGAGGATATTGTAGAGGTGTCTACGTGAGCTAGGTTTTAGCAGTCATTTTTGTTGTGCAGGTTAACAACGGACATAAACACCAACCATACTGCTTTTTGGTGGCTCTAGGGATTTATACAATGTTTCCCAGTATCTTTAAATTACCTTGTGAGGATAGAAATCTAGAAACTACCATTGTCGGTATGTTATAAACATGCAAGTTTGTAGATTGTCTTCCAGAACCTGGCATTAATACCTAGAGAGAATTGGTAATCTGGGATGACATACCTTTCCCAGATTAGTGACTCAAAGTAGTGGAATCAGGATTAGGATGACAGTCTTGAACCTTGCATCAAGTTAGCAGTTTCAACTCCCATATTTCTGGCCTTATATGTTTCTTTTAGATGCTGAGTACAGTAAATTAGTCATTTTCTACTACACATTAGGTTTCAGTGATTGATGAACAATTAAATGAGCTATAAATTACGTTTGTATGCTCATGGGTATAATTTTGAGCTCTCCCCAAATCCTTTACACTGCTATTCTGCAGCCCCAAACACCTTACTGTCTAGAAGTACCCTATGCCAACCCCCCAGTCCCCCCCCCCCCGGGTCTATGTATTAATGCAGAGTACTTCCTTAAATATCGTGTACATATTATCAGTACATTCCAAATTTGTACTCCTCCTACTAACAATATCATTGACTTTTCTGTCTCACAGATACAGTTCCTTAAAAAGTATTCATACCTCTTGAAATTTTCCACATTTCGTTATGTTACAACCAAAATGTGATCGACCAACACAAAGTGGCACATGATTGTGAAGTGAAAGGAAAATGATAAATGGTTTTCAAATTTTTTACAAATAAATGTCTGAAAAGTGTGGTGTGCATTTGTATCCAGCTCCCCTGAGTCAATACTTTGTAGAACCACCTTTCACTAAAATTCCAGTTACAAGTCTTTTGGGGATGTCTCTACCAGCTTTGCACATCTAGAGAGGGACATTTTTTGCTCATTTTTCTTTGCAAAATAGCTCAAGCTCTGTCAGAATGGATCAAGAGTGCCTGTGAACAGCAATTTTCAAGTCTTGCCAAAGATTCTCCTTTGGATTTAGGTCTGGACTTTGACTGGACCATTTTAACACATGAATATGCTTTGATCTAAACCATTCCATTGTAGCTCTGGTTGTATGTTTAGGGTTGTTGTCCTGTTGGAAGGTGAACCTCCACCCCAGTCTCAAGTCTTTTGCAGACTCCAACAGGTTTTCTTCTAAGACTGACCTGTATTTGCTGCATCCGTCTTTCCATAAACTCTAACCAGCTTCCCTGCTGAAGAAAAGCATCCCCACAACATGATGCTACCACCACGTTTCACGGTGGGGATGGTGTGTTCAAGGTGATGTGCAGTGTTAGTTTTCCGCCACATAGTGTTTTTTGCTTTTAGGTCAAAAAGTTCAATTTTGATTTCATCTGACCAGATCATCTTCTTCCACATGTTTACTGTGTCCCCAACACGGCTTCTCGCAAACAGGACTTCATATGGCTTTTTTTCAACAATGGCTTTCTTCTTGCCACTCTTCCAAAAAGGTCAGATTTGTGGAGTGCATGACTAATAGTTGTCCTGTGGACAGATTCTCCCACCTGCACTGTGGATCTCTGCAGCTCCTCCAGAGTTACCATGGGCCTCTTGGTTGCTCTAGGTTTGCAGTTGTGCCATACTTTTTCCATTTTTGGATGATCGATAGAACAGCACTCTATGAGATGTTCAAAGCTTGGGATATTTTGTTATAACCTAACCCTGCTTTAAACTTCTCCACAACTGTATCCCTGACCTGTCTGGTGTGTTCCTTGGTCTTCATGATGTTGTTTGTTCACTAATGTTCTCTAACAAACCTCTGAAGGCTTCACAGAACAGCTGTATTTATACTGAGAATAGATTACACACAGGTGGACTATATTTATTAATTAGGTGACTTCTGAAGGAAATTGGTTCCACTAGATTTTAGTTCAGGGTATCAGAGTAAAGGGGGCTGAATAGAAATGCACGCCACACTTTTCAGATATTTATTTGTAAAAAATGTTGCAAACCATTTATCATTTTCCTTCCACTTCACAATTATGTGCCACTTTGTGTTGTTCTATCATCTAACCTATTTAATCCCAATAAAATACATTTACGTTTTTGGTTGTAACATGACAATATGTGGAAAATTTCAAGGGATATGAATACTTTTTAAAGGCACTGTATGTTAAAATATGACTAGGTAAAATTTTTCTTTTCAGTTTTGTAGTGGTGAGGGATTAGTATACCTGTCAGGTTGTTGTTGCTGCCTGTGCCCATTAGGGAGATTAACTCTCTTTGTTTGTCCTATTTACCATTATCCTCTAAAGTGACAGTGAAAGAAAATCCCAAATTTTGGGTTGTCACCAACCAGGGATTCCCTGACTTTGGACAGATTTACACTTCCTGTTTTGGCTATGGAACAGGAAGTAAAAGAAAATCTCCCTGAAAGGACTCGGATGGCACAAAAAACCTGATGGTTTATAACCCTGCTCTACTCTAACCAAAATGAAAACATGTTGCCTTTTAGTTCTACTTTAATTGTTTGAAGAGCCAGTAGCCATTTTAAGTAGGCTGACCAGATAAACTTCTGAACTGAGTACCAGGGGTACTACCAATTTTATTTTATTTATTTATTTTAAGTTACAATGGCTATCTGGCTCCACATGGTTGTCCAGTCTATAGAACATGTGCATTATAGCATACATTAGAAAAAAAAAATTCTAATGTGCATTTGCCTTGATACATAGATGTCACCCCCTGATCCTTGTGTCCCACCTTCTTCCTGGCTGTAACATCTGCTCCTCATGGCCCCTGCATGCCACTAACTGCTTTGATTAGTTTATTAATTGGTTTGTGAATTCAGGCTCAATTACATCATCATCAGCAGATGGCGGATCCTGACCTGCTTGAAGAGTCGTCATCTCTCCTGGAGCCCAGTGAGATGGGAAGAGGAGCCCCGCTGAGACTAGGGTATGTGCAATTGTCCTTTACATTTATACTATTTACATACATGTTCAGGGGCGGACTAACAACTCATGGGGCCCCCCGGGCAATAGGGGATCATGGGGCCCCTGTGTCCTCCCCCACACCCAAAAAAGCCTATGAAAAAGCCAATGAAAAGTACCTGGGGCATCTCATGGGGCCCCCTACTGACCCCGGGCCCTCGGGCACTGCCCGAGTGCTCGAATGGTCAGTCTGCCCCTGTACATGTTATACCTAACTACACAGAACTTAAGCCTACTATAGATATAAACATGACTGTTGGATGTAGGGATTTGATCCAGCAACAAACTTTTTCTTTTCTCCCAGCATGTCTTCTAAATATAATTTTCTCTTTATAAAGTTTGAATATGTTCCTCACCTTATCAAGCTGTTTGCTTCTTCTAATCTTTTTTTTTAATTTAAAGTTTTTTTTTTTTTTTTGTTTTTTTTTTACTTTAAAATTTTAAGTATATCACTGCAGTTGCAGCTCACCTCTTAATAAAATGTAACCTGTGTATTTCATAATAAACTGATATATTTACAGTTTTGTTGCTGGAGTCATTAACCGAGAGCGGATCCCCACTTTTGAGAGGATGTTATGGCGCGTTTGCCGTGGCAATGTGTTCCTTCGACAGGCAGAGATTGAAAACCCATTGGAAGACCCAGTGACGGTAAGAGAATGCCTTATGTGTTTATTGTCAAGTGTGTTCTGTTGTAGTGTGTTTTTTGAATATTAGACAGTAGTGTAGCATTTTTGACACTGTGGTGTGTTTGTGGCAGGAGTTGAATAAGTACTCTACATTTTAGAAGCAAGGGCATTAAATCTAAGTCAGGAAACATGAGTGTCCACTGAACCCAGCCAACTCCGAAAACCTAGATGGCATTGTATTTTAAAGAACCTTATTGATCTGGCTTTTTTTTTTTTGTTTTTTTTTTAGGTAACTTGTATGTATTATGGTGTTATTAAAAGAAATACTGTAGTTCACAATAAAATACCTGTGTGAGAAACCTCAGAGCTTTTCTGACTCCTGGGCTGTATATCTTTTTCTGGGTTTGGAGAATGACAGCCTTAATCTGAAGCTTCTCACAGTGATTTGCTCTTTGTCAGTTTACCAAATGGGACCTGCCTGTTCTTCCAGAAAAAGCAGCCATTAGCACAGTGGTAGTCAACTTTCTTGATATGACATCACCAAAGGACCACATGTGAATAATCTGTGTCTGAAGCAGACCCACAACAGGATATAGTCAATGACTCTGGGTATGATACAAGAGATGGTCACAGACCGTGGACATGGTACAGGACATGGTCATAGACTGTGGACATAATAGAAGAGATGGCAGAGACTGTGGATACAATAAAGTGATGGTCAGAGACTGAAAACATGGTACAGGATATTGTCAGAGACTATGGCATAATACAGGAGGTGGTCAGAGACTGAACATGCAGCAGGAGACTATCAGAGACTTTGGACATGCTGCGGGAGGCTTTCAGAGACTGTGGACATGCTTCGGGAGGCTTTCAAAGACTGTGGACATGCAGAAGGAGGCTGTCAGAGACTGCAGACATGCTGCGGAAGACTTCGATACCATGAACATGCTGCGGAAGACTTCAATACCATGAACATGCTGCGGAAGACATTTAGACTGTAAACATGCAGCAGGAGACTATCAGAGACTGTGGACATGCTGCGGGAGGCTTTCAGAGACTGTGGACATGCTGCGGGAGGCTTTCAGAGACTGTGGACATGCTGCGGGAGGCTTTCAGAGACTGTGGACATGCTGCGGGAGGCTTTCAGAGACTGTGGACATGCTGCGGGAGGCTTTCAGAGACTGTGGACATGCTGCGGGAGGCTTTCAGAGACTGTGGACATGCTGCGGGAGGCTTTCAGAGACTGTGGACATGCTGCGGGAGGCTTTCAGAGACTGTGGACATGCTGCGGGAGGCTTTCAGAGACTGTGGACATGCTGCGGGAGGCTTTCAGAGACTGTGGACATGCTGCGGGAGGCTTTCAGAGACTGTGGACATGCTGCGGGAGGAGACTTGGACAGAGACTGTGGGACATGCTGCGGGAGGCTTTCAGAGACTGTGGACATGCTGCGGGAGGCTTTCAGAGACTGTGGACATGCTGCGGGAGGCTTTCAGAGACTGTGGACATGCTGCGGGAGGCTTTCAGAGACTGTGGACATGCTGCGGGAGGCTTTCAGAGACTGTGGACATGCTGCGGGAGGCTTTCAGAGACTGTGGACATGCTGCGGGAGGCTTTCAGAGACTGTGGACATGCTGCGGGAGGCTTTCAGAGACTGTGGACATGCTGCGGGAGGCTTTCAGAGACTGTGGACATGCTGCGGGAGGCTTTCAGAGACTGTGGACATGCTGCGGGAGGCTTTCAGAGACTGTGGACATGCTGCGGGAGGCTTTCAGAGACTGTGGACATGCTGCGGGAGGCTTTCAGAGAGACTGTGGACATGCTGCGGGAGGCTTTCAGAGACTGTGGACATGCTGCGGGAGGCTTTCAGAGACTGTGGACATGCTGCGGGAGGCTTTCAGAGACTGTGGACATGCTGCGGGAGGCTTTCAGAGACTGTGGACATGCTGCGGGAGGCTTTCAGAGACTGTGGACATGCTGCGGGAGGCTTTCAGAGACTGTGGACATGCTGCGGGAGGCTTTCAGAGACTGTGGACATGCTGCGGGAGGCTTTCAGAGACTGTGGACATGCTGCGGGAGGCTTTCAGAGACTGTGGACATGCTGCGGGAGGCTTTCAGAGACTGTGGACATGCTGCGGGAGGCTTTCAGAGACTGTGGACATGCTGCGGGAGGCTTTCAGAGACTGTGGACATGCTGCGGGAGGCTTTCAGAGACTGTGGACATGCTGCGGGAGGCTTTCAGAGACTGTGGACATGCAGAAAGAGGCTATCCGAGACTGCGCACTTGCTGCGGAAGACATTTAGACTGTAAACATGCAGTAGGAGACTATCGGAGACTTTGGACATGCTGCGGGAGGCTTTCCGAGACTGTGGACATGCTGCGGGAGGCTTTCCGAGACTGTGGACATGCTGCGGGAGGCTTTCCGAGACTGTGGACATGCTGCGATAGGCTTTCAGAGACTGTTAGCATGCTTCAGAAGACAGTCATAGACTGGAGGCATTTTACATATGACTGCCATCAATCATTGCTATAACAGGGCAATAGAGAAATGCAAATTAGTGTTTACTGGGGCCTCAAGGGCTGCACAAAAAATGCCAAAGGGCCACAGGTTGGGCACCAAGGCAATTAGAATCATGGGCGGTTTTTCCTGTCATAGTGCAAAGCCTTTTAGTATTGAAAACTAAAATGTTTTATATAAATTACACATGCAAAGGACCTAGTCAATGTTAGCATGGTTTTTCTTAATTGTAACTGTTTTTCCGTTTTCCTATCTTCTTCGATTTAATAGCTCAGTCTTGCCCAATCACTCTCTTTTCATAAGTATTAATACAGAAGGATTCATTTATGCCTTTTTTTTTTTTTTCTTTTAATATACCGGTAAGTAACTGGGGAAATTATGCTTTTTGTTCTGCAGCACAGATGAGTGCCAAGGTATATGGTGCAGTTTATGCCTGGTAGTCTTTTCTGTGTGAGATTTCATATTCTTCATTGTGCAGCTGAGGAAGTGCTTTCTTAGTGAGGTCAGTCTCCACTGATTAACAGATTGACTTCCTTCCATATTATCAGAGTATCCACCACACAAACACAGGAAAGTATCCTGTCTATCTGCACTAAGGCAGCTGCTCTAAGGAGCCCCAATTCTCTGCCACTATTCATCACCATGCAGATATATTGAGAAGTGGCTTTTAGCCTTGAATCTGTCTTCATTTGTAGATGGCTTCTACGTGGCATGATAGATACTGGTTTATAGTGTTAAATACTTTTTGAGGAGTTAAGTAAAATTACTTAAAGCAGAATTAAACCCCAAACCAAAAATGTAATAAATTGCAGCTGGACAATCATTTAGATATGGTGGCTGCATTTAATTTTCTTTCTTTTAGGCTTTATTCTCTCTGTTTTCACCTGATGATCTGGTCATTAAAACAACTCCTGTATCAGTGTCCCCACTCTGGATGAAGGAGCACAGGGGGCACAGCAGACCGCAGCATTGTCAGTTGGGGGGGGGGGGGGGGGGGGGTGTTAAATATACTAGCAGATTTAAATAAAATAACAAATTGAAGCCAAACTCCAGCTCACACTGTATAATCAGTTACAGCAAACTTTTTTTTATCTTTTGGGATAAATAAAAGATGACCATTGTAAGCACTCCTGTCATTGTTAAATGGTTTGTGTCATCTCAGTAAACTGATACATTTGCTGGAGAGCTTGTTTTTTTAAAAAAAAAAGACTTACTGGCCATATCAACAAGTTAAAATAGAAGATAGTTGCATAGTTAATCAGGTTGAAAAAAAAAAAAAAAGTCCATGCAGTTCAACCGACAGAGAAAAAAAACAAAATACACACAAGTCGAAAACCTCCATATCCACTTGCCAAACAGTTACGTACATGATATGCTACCAGTCTACAAGTGGTTGTACTGAGACAATGCTATTACAAGCAGAGGGAGGGAACATTCCCCCCAACCAAGTAACCACCGCACCCCCCACCCCCCACGCCTTCTGTTGCTTTCACAGGATCCCCCGATGAGTCTTGATCAACCGGCGCTGCCGCTGGCTGGTCACGGAGCCGAATGAAGACTGGACTGGCTTTGTTCAGCTCCAATATTTTGTAAACTGGAAGTGATGCCCTGACATACTCGGAAATAAACGGCATCATTTCTTAAAAATAAAAGGATTCAGTCACACTGATCTTGGTGTAACTGAATTCTTTTAAGAGCTGAGGAGGGATTTGGGGTCTTTTTGACCCCAGATCCCTCCAGAAAGACTGTCCAGTTATGTACCTGTCACATGCTTATTGCTGTCACAAGGGATGTCTGCATTCTTTGCGACAGCAATAAAAGTGATCAGAAATTTTTTTTTTTTTTAAAGTGACAGTGTAAGAGGAAAAAAAAAAAAATGTGCTCCCGTCCCCTGTGCTTGCACGCAAAGGTGAACACGTGTAGGTTCCGCAGCACAAACAGCAATCGTCCCACACGTGAGGTATCACTGCGAACATCAGATCATGAGCAGTAATTCTAGCATCAGATCTCCTCTGTAAATCTAAAATGGTCACCTGTAAAGGATTTTAAAGCGATGCCTATGGATTGTAAAATTTACATCACTTGTCGCCTTTGCCCTGTAGTACTCCATTTCAAAGCGTGACATGTTTGGTATCTCTTTGCTCAGTGTAATCTTTTGTATTTTACAAAACAACTTGGTTAGGTATGGTGGTTTTTTTTGCATTAAAATTCAAAAAAAGTGTTTTTTTTCCCCCAACAAATTGCGTTTGAAAAACCACTGCGCACATACTGTGTAACATAAAAAATTGCAAAACCCATCAATTTATTCTCTAGAGCCTCTGCTTTTAAAAAAAATAGAGAATGTTTTAGGGTTCTAAGTAATTTTCTAGCTAAAAAAAAACCCTTTTGTGTTTTCTGTGAACAAAAAGTGCTAGAAAAAAGTCTGGTCCTGCTCCACCCAAAAGGTGAAGTTCTGCTTTAAGCCTTTGTCCCCCACTCCTCATTAAGTATTGGCACCTTTTTTGG